AGTAAAAAAGTGCCCTGAAGGATTGTTTCAAAATTCAGTTAAGAATTTCAAAATTCAAAATAACGCATCAAAAGTTTCGCCCAAAGTACGTTCATTCAACGTCAGTAATGTTTCATTAGTGCTGGAATATGAATTGAACAAATCAGGTTGAAAGTTAACGGCAGAGATAAATAAATAAGTACTGAATAAAGATAGATTGTAGGTCAGCCGGCTCAAGCACACCGGATCGATTTCCATGTGAACGCCCCGGGTGTGGAGGGGAATTTACGTGTGTGCGTCACATATCGTTTGTTGATTGTCCTGGTCACGACATTCTTATGGCAACTATGCTCAACGGTGCGGCAGTTATGGACGCAGCAATGTTATTGATAGCTGGCAATGAGTCGTGTCCACAGCCACAAACCTCTGAGCATCTAGCTGCGGTCGAAATCATGCAGCTCAAACATCTTCTCATTCTTCAAAACAAAATTGACCTTATTAAGGTCACACATATCTATCATATGAACTGTGCTGTTTCATTTTTAACTTCTTACTCGTTATAGTCACGCCGTTATCTTCTACATTAGTTATGTTTGACAACCTGAAGGAGGGATTAAAGAATCTGAGATGGTGTGCGACAGTTCTCTTCTAAACGCTGAACATTACAAGTTATCTTGCATTACAAGTTGATGATTTTTTTTCGCAGAGTTTAAGAATGATTTCTTCCAGGAGAGTCAAGCACGAGAACAATTCGAGCAAATTCGCAGTTTCGTTCAAGGAACTGTAGCTGATGGGGCCCCGATTGTTCCTATTTCAGCCCAGTTGAAATACAATGTTGATGTGAGCATTTCGATTGAAACGTTTTATAATTTTATACCTAATATGACCAAAAGGAATGAATTTGCACCCATTGTTGTTTTTTCTTGCATGATTCTTTTCAGGTAGTCTGCGAATATCTGTGTAAGAAGGTGCCCGTACCGCCAAGGGACTTCACTTCTGATGCTCGCCTTATCGTTATCAGATCTTTCGACGTGAACAAACCGGGCTCAGAAGTTGAGAATCTGAAAGGTGGTGTAGCTGGTGGTTCTATTCTTAGAGGTATCAAATTCAATATGACTTCCGAATGCTTGACTACTTATAGCTATAAAAATGCCTGTGGATTAGTTTATCCTTTCTTGCGTAGGTTCTTACTGAATAATATTCCACTGATTCAAGCACGTCATCTCATGTGATTCATTCATTCAGAATCGTTTAATTACACTCGTTTCCTATGGTGTTCACTATCATTTGTGTATATTTTAATCTTTGAAAGGTATTCTACGAGTTGGCCAAGAGATAGAGGTACGTCCTGGCATCGTTTCCAAATCTGCAGATGGCCGTGTTCAGTGCCGACCGATTTTCTCAAAAATTGTTTCACTTTTTGCTGAACAAAATCAACTGCAGTATGCCGTCCCTGGAGGTATGATTATAGGCGTTTTTTTCCAAATGTAATATTGCCATGGCCGTTCGAAGTCTTTGTTTTTGTCACGTATCTTCATTAGTGCAGTTCATGATGAATGAGCCTTCCGTTCTCATATTTTAGTTCCTTTAGGAAATGCATATAAAAATGATGGACTAATCACTTGATTGATCAAATAAAATTTGAAGGTTTAATTGGAGTAGGCACAAAAATTGACCCAACACTTTGTCGTGGCGATCGTCTTGTGGGGCATATTTTGGGTGCAGTTGGTACATTACCGGATATTTTCACCGAAATTGAAATTGCTTATTTCCTCTTGCGGCGGTTGCTCGGAGTGCGTACCGAGGGTGGTAAGAAGGCCGCGAAAGTGCAGAAATTGGGTAAAGGTGAAGTTCTTATGGTCAATATTGGTTCATTGTCAACAGGAGGACGAGTCATAGCAGTTAAAGGTATTTGTTTCAATTTATTTACACCTTTTGAAACCGTCCATAAATTCATTCATTCCATATGGATGGTACTAACAATTAGCATGCAATCATCTCCTCTGGTTTTAATATTTTTTCGTTTGCCAATATGCAAAAGATTCAGCTCGAATGATGAATTGCACTATTGATTGCATGACACTTTGATATGAATTAGATATGGAAAAAATACATAAATATGAAGCTTGCATTTCATTTTTCATTGGATCTGCACATATTTGTTACATGATCTGATTGGTCGAATGGTCATAATAATGACATGTGCAGGTGAATTTATAATTTTTAATTAAGGTGAAGCAGCAAAGATTGCATTAACCGATCCGATTTGCACAGAAGTGAATGAGAAGATTGCATTATCGCGTCGTATCGAGAAACATTGGCGTTTAATTGGTTGGGGTACAATACGACGTGGCATAACAATTAAGCCGATCGATCATTGAGCTTTGAGCACTAATTGATGATAATGATTCATTCCGTTACATCTTCACGAACGGATTGTATCTCGAAAAAATGGTTTACCTTTAGATACACCGAAATTAATTGTTGCTGTTGGATGTGGTCCTGTTGTCCTTTTCAGTTGGATATTTTCATTCATTTGCATGTCCACATAACACCTCATCTCGTTGCTTACTTGAAGAACACACTTGAGAGTTGTTTTTTTTTGTTGAAAATTTGAACCGAAAAATTTGCGTCCAAATTTTCGAGTTATCGTTGTTTATATTTTGATCATCAGCGATTTTCTAGAGCTAGAATTTTCATATTAATTATTTGGCAATTTTTTGTTCCCATTTGCAATAGCGCTAAAGAAATGCTGACTGGAATGTAAAATGTTAATTAGCGATTATTTTACAACGAATTTGAATGCACATTTAAAGTTCAATTCATTCAAAAGATCGTAGTATTGTTGTTCAGTTAACGTGCATTTTTCTTGTGGTGAATTCAGATTCCAGTGAAATTATGATATATTGTAGAAGTGTTCAGCTCGAAAGCGAGACACTTATGAACCAGATGTTCATTTCCATGTTCATAGCATCAATCATATTTTCATTTGTCTCATTCATTTTACGTTTTATTTGACGATGCGCTTAAAAGAAATCGGAAGAGATTATAAGCAGGTGTGTGAGATTGATGAGAATGACAAACATTATCAGTTCTGATAGACTGCATCAGATGTTCAAGGGTGTTTGTAAAAGAATTGTGCTTAAATTATTTTGTTTATTGTTTAAGAGTGTAAGCAGTCGTTATGATATTTAACTGTTTATCGTTATTAAAAGAGGTTGGTTGATTAACTGTTGAATTATTAAAAGTTGTGTTGTTAAAGATGTTCAATTTTATTTTATTTCTGCATTAAACTGTTTCACCAGTTTTTATTTGTTAGCACATTTCAACTGCGCAATTCGCTGTTGTTCGTCTTTTTCATGAGTCCATTTATAAACTACGACGTATTCGTACAATGTTTAAGTTAATACATATCTAATATACAATCAAAATTTGTTATTTCATCTTTTTCGAGTGGATTATTTGCTTAAGATTGGCTCCATTCTATTGACCATATGATCCAGGATGAAACAGTCACATTAATGACTTCAGCGAACTGAGAGCCTCCGTAATTCATTAATTTAGAGGCTACAGTATTCGGTAGCCTAGTGACAGAATGGGGTAAGAATAACATGATGTTGACCTTGATATATCGCAGACGGAAAACTGATTTCGTGAGGAGAACACGAAATGGGATTTTGTGTATAAGACCGTAACTGAGATTACTGTGTTCATGGAAAATAAAATAATATGACATCATCAGGAAAGTTCCTCATCTGGGGTATTATTGATTTACTGGCTACCAGCAATGTCTAAGCTGCGGAATCAAGAAAACTTTTTGGTTTCCTCGAGAAACTGCAACATGCAGTAGTCGGGGCTAAGACATGTACGACAATTTTCTTCAGGAACCGAAGAGAACAGAGAAAAGTTCAAAGCTGGGGCCGAAGTTTTGCAAAATGCGAATACGAAGCCGGGGATGGAGTTGAAGTAGGAATTCCAAAATCGCAGTTAAAGGTGGAGCTGGAACCGGAAATTGAAGATTGTAGAGTTGGGGCCTGGATCGAAAGCAAACTTTAAAAAAGGCGAAGCCGGAATTTTTGAAAACGCGGGGGAGGAGATGGGTCAATTCTTTTCAAATCATACATCACCGCTGGTTAGTAAGCATGATAATCGGAGTCAATGCTTTGCAAATCGTGCATCACTGCTGGCTAGTAAGCATGATAATCAGGATGCTGTCGAAAAGAAATTAAGGATAGTTAAACACGCCAATTTAACTCGTATCTTGACTTCGTTTGCATAACTTGGCTTTCCTCTGTCTCTGTTTGTGTTAATTGTGTACTGCTCTTTATCCCCATACATCCACTCCAATCGAGCCATTTCCTCGTGTGTCCGACCCGAATAAATCGCTAAATGCTTTTCACTCTTCTTCGTCTAGTCAATTTCTGCTATCCATAACGCGTTCTTTGCTTCTCTCTTCTACAGTCTTGAAGTTTCTCTCAAGCACTTTCAACTAGAACCTCTAGATTACTGCTCTCATCTTTTCATAAAATTTTGGTTCACTTAACGACGTGCGATGCAGCGTTCTATTCGATGTTGTTTATTGTCGACCACCCTTGTTGTTGCAATGTTCCTCTTAAACATTAATATTTGTTTCGGTCTCTATTAGTCATTCGTCATTTCTACATTCGTTTTTGATTTTCATTTTGATTCAGCACACTCACTCTTCTCTCATTTCGTGCTCTATTCGATAATACTACAATGGGCCACTGATAAATCACCTTGTTCTCTATAGATACTGCTGCTGCTGCATCAAAAAATACGTCTTATGTTGTGCGCTTTTAGTTCCAAACCGTTTTTTGAAATCAGCAACAGTTTTTTGTTCATATTACCTTCTTTCATTTCGCAAACTATAGTTGCTGTCATGCTCCTTTTACTATAAAACTCCATATTCACTGTTTGCATTCGGTTTTCATGTTGTACTGGCTGCAACATCCAACCAGTACTGTTTATTTACGCAAACAGATCATTATTTTATTGTTGTACTTATTCAACTTCGACTTCAAACATTTGTTTGTTTTGCGCTTTGTTATTGTAGATTCGTTTTCAGCATTCGAATATTTTTGTGTTGAAATTCTCTAAGTACATCTGTCCCATTCGGTTTTAATGGCGCACTAATCATGATATACGCATTCATTTTATACATATTACTGAATTCAGTCGTCAACTTCTTGAGGTTTGGCGAGCTCCCTAGTGGTTATTTCTCTTGGTTTTGCTCAATTCCAAAACCAGCATAATGGCTCCTCAGCCACATAAACCAGGTTTTTTTTTGAATTCATTTTACTTCTCAGTAAAAATCTTGAATGGTTTATTCACGATGTACGATTCCCATTTCTCGTTTTCATTTGTCAGATCATAATCAGTTATCTGATATTCTAAAATTCACGCAAACATCACTATTTTTTTATGAGCAGTGTGAATTCAAATATGCTTGGGATGATGCTTATTTTCGTTAGAGAAATAAGCCCAGGATGTCAGAAAGATGCAAGTGAAATTTTTGATTTTTGCATCCGTCATATTTTAATGAAGTGGCAAATGTTCATCAGTCAGAAGTATCTCAGACGTATTTCTATTGCAAGAATGAACAACTTAAAAGATTTGTTAGGCGGTTCAGATATTCGTGGTGAATTGGAAAGTATAGGTCGATGTTTGAAAGGTGAAGAACTGGTGAAGGCATTGATGGAACGAGTTGTTGCGGCCGAGGATGAGAAAGCCACATTAGCGGGTAAATTAGAAGAATTGTCTCGTGCTCAAAAGGAGGCTGGTACCTTAAGAAAAGAAAACGAAATCGTGGGTTTACATTTGTCTTATGTTGACGATTCGTTTTCTTTTTGATCGGTTTAAAAATGCACTGAACAGTCGAAATTATTCACTGAAGCATTCTTTTATTGTTGAAATAAACCGAATCGGTTGAAGTTGGTTTTCAGTAATTTTGCATTATTTTTTGGTGTTATTTTGATGGGGCGGTATCAGAAATGGTTTGTAATCGATTATTTGTAGTTCGTTCTCGTCACGTTAACCTCTTCTTATTCTTCATGAAGCTATCCGTATTCGTGTTCAATGTTTGCCCTGAACATTTTACTCTGTTTGTGTGCCATCTGATTTCGCTCTCGTTTTCAGTTGACAAAGAGGAAAGAAGCGTTGGAATCGGTGTTGATGAAAACAGAATTAGCGAAGGGGAAACTGGAGAGTTTATGCCGCGAAATGCAAAAGGCGCAAAAGAAGACGCACGATGAACACGTTGAAAAACTGAAAACTTTAGAAAAAAGCCGTAAAGAAATGATTGAACAATTCAAAGAATCGATAGCCACTATTCAGGTGATGAGAAGCTATTATTCCCTTACAATTGATCGTCAACGACTGACAAACATTTCTCGGTCGACCTTCATGTTTGCATATCGTTTTGCTACTACTTGCTCATAATCGTCGTCATGATATGGCTGCTACATGCCTATAGGTGTATAAAAAATTAGACATCCTCACCGGATATTTTATGGTGAAATTAAATTACAATCAGATGGCTTATTGAACGCATTCATACTTCAACGCGTTCAGAAATCAATGGAAACAGGTCGAGAAACATCTGAAAAGTTATCCTCCGATAATGCCAATCTCGCCGAGAAATTGAAGACTCTCGCCAACGAATACGAATCAAGGGTAGCGCAACTGTCGAAACAGTTCAACGAGGTCGGCCTGTATTCTACTGAGTCAATCTTTACGACTTGTCTATTCTCATATCAACTAATTTCAATCGATTCTGTCCGATAATGAGATCATGTTCGAATAAGTTTTCGTATTTTCATTTACATATTTTGAAGGTGTCATTATGCTTCATTCAAATATGCTATATGGTTGATCATCTACAGTAGCGTATGCAGAAGTTGTTTCGGGGACGGTGTTACACAATTTCGCTCAATCAAACAGAACAGAATAAAATGCAACACTGTGAACGAAAACGTTTATCAGAGCTAGTTTCCGATATTTGAGAGAAGAGCAATTCATGGCTCGATTTTCCTACTCCCACATCCTGTGTACGCCACTGGTTGTCATAAAAATATGTATTTTATCGAAGCATCATCGAGATATGTTCGACTAAGTTAAGTGTGTAACATACGAGTCCTGGAAAGTAAGACGCTGACTTCATCTGATGTTTCGAAATGATTAATTTTCTCATGGTTGAATGTGTTTCTGTTTCATTGTTGTTGGGTTGCTCATTGAACAACGATTGTTGCAGAAGACAGAGTATTGTGAAAAGTTAGCGTCAGCACGAAATATGGAAGTAGAATTATACAAAACAAAATTGAACGCAGCCAATTTGGATATTCAAAAGTGTGCACAGGAAAAATTACAACTCAAAAATGAGGTATGAGTGCATGGTTGCTTATTTTTATTCAACGTCCTCATTGCGTTTTGTTGTCATTATATAGTGCGTGGTTTTTATCATATTCATTCAAAAGTTTTTGAACTTATTAAGTCTCAATAAATTTATGGTGTCTTATGGGTTCAGGAAACGGATTGAAAGAAGCAAAGTTCTTCTGCAAATAATAAGTAATTAAACACTGACACAGTTTTTGATTATTATTCTACAGAAGCAGTGAGAGTTGTGATGTATTTCATGCAGTGTATGTTTATGATTGTATCTTTGAGATTGGATATAGTCAGTGTTTCTAATTTTTCAATTTTTCAGCTGCTAGCTCGGGAATTGAGGATGAAAGAAGCTCTGGAAGGTGAAAAGGCAATGCGTGAACAGATTGATAAGTACACCAAAAAATACAATGAATTGCATAGCAGTCTCAACAATTCGAATGAAACTTTCGAAAAATTCAAACGTGAAATGGAGCGAGTTTGTTTTCGAAACAAAATATTTTCTCGTCAATCTTTATAGTTGCTTTTTTTGACAACAAATCTAAATTGCACTCTACAACATTCGTGATTCACGGCGAAGCCGGCCGTATTTTCGGCCCATAACAGTTGTGTTTATCGTTGAATTAATCCATCAGAGCAAAAACCAAATAAAATGAGTTTGAGTGAAAAAAAGCGAGGTCTTCAGAGAGGGTAAATTTTGGGAGTTAGCGCATTAATGTTGGTCAGTTTTTTCAACTTTCCTCCACAATTGTTCTGCATTATTTTCTAAATGCTTGTTTGGTCAAAAGAGAGTAATTTTTACCATACCACCGACGGATTCTTGACAGAAAAGTTGTTGATCATTGAATCGATTTTTTGATTTCATTCTAGTTTATTGTTTACAATTAATTGATCGGAAAAGAGTAGCGGTTACTTAGGATGTTGAAGAAGGGTTGAGGAATGGTGCCCAATCATGTAGCCAAAAGCGGCATGAAGTGCAAAATCGTTGGAAACATTCATCTATACTAAACATATGGCGTGTTTTCAACCGTAATCTAGTCAGCACTTAGGCCTTAAATTGATATCCAACGATTATCTACAACTAACAACATGGGGGTGAGGAGTGGGAGGTGGTTATGGTTTGTTATCCCAATTGCTGAAAAATTAGAAGATTTCGATTGGTGGCTGTAGTGGAAGTGTAATTATTTCAATGCATATAATTTTGGATTAAAGAATGGTTCACGAACCTCTGTATTGCCTCCAAAACTGATGAACCATCACTACGAAACAGTAGTCTCCTCTGTAAAATAGCCAAAAGAACAGAACCGCTCCTTAAAATATCACTGTCCGTGACCTTTGAGTGAGATGCGAGCATTTAAATGTGTTGCAAATGCATTTGCTACAATGCATATATGCGATCTTTATATTTTGTTAATTTCAGATGAATAGTAATTTGATAAAAGTCGAAAAAGAATGTCGAAAATGGAAAACGAAATACGATGAAACCGCGCAGTAGGTTGATTGGAATGTTATGTTTCTTCCTGAGTGTCCTTTTTTTTCAAATTCTTTCACCCAACGATTGGCTGGTTGTCGTTTTTGAATTCCACAAATTGCCGTTATGCTAAAATTTGTTTCGTTGATTTAGAAGGAAGCGATCCGCATTTTGCTTCAAAAGATTTTCTGATTTGATCCAATGCACGATCATTTCTCATCGAAATTTGTTCAGACAGAATGAAAATTCGTAGATCTATTTAATCTTCCACTGAACAAATAGAAATTAAGTGATTGGGTGTTTACAAGATGTATTCAGAGTGTACTGAAATTATTGTTCACTTTTCTTAGTCCATAACTGACCATATACCTATGCTCAGGGCATTGGCAGCGGCTATTGTACAGAAAAAAGAAAGCGAAGATGCGTGCGCACTGAAGGAACGTCAACTGCAACAATTGCAAGGCCTTTGTCGCACTCTAAAAGCTCAAATCTCGAATCAGTAATTCATTATTTCGTATTGTTAATCTCAAGTTCGAGTGTACACAAGTGATTCAACTGAATGAACACTTCGATACTTTTGTTTTGTTCGATTCATTACTTTTATTCATCAGATTATTAATGCGTTCTTGTTATTCGTATCTTTCACTTACTATTCTCCTATAACTGGACTGTAGAGAAGTGACTGATTATTCGCTGATTATTATGTCGTATAGAAAGAAAACGATTTGTTCAGTCATTCAGAAAGTTTTATTTTGTTTTTGCTGCATTTATTCAGCTGATTAATTTTACATATTTGTCTCGATTGCACACTTTATTGTATTCGTCACATACATTTAAGCGTGCTGAACAATCGAAGATTTCTTTATAGGTTCTAAACTTCTGTTGAAACATGAAAGCGTTGTTTGATGGTGAATCTCGAAATTATAAAGACCTTCGTTATAATTTGTGAGTATCATTCATCAGTTACTGAGTACTATCTGAGATACGTTAAATGCATTGCATATCGTTTGTTGATCAAAAATTGTAACTTTCTTCTCCACTTCTGAGTGCCAAAAGGTTCTAGAGGTATCTACATTCGACGATTCGATTCTGAATCATCTTTCATAAACGACGAATCGTTCGCAGAACGATTTTATCATCACGATACACGTTTGTCTCGTTACTGAATGAAAACGTTAACCAGTGAATTTATTAATGTTCGTTGAAATTAAGTAAATAAATCTGAGTGAGTTGAAAGAATTTGTATTGTTCGAATGGTTTTCGGTATTGTATTATATAAATTTTGTTGGTACTGATGAAAATATCAAGCTGTATTAATAGGCAAGAATAAATAAAGAGTAATTATTGGTAAGTTGTTGGCAGCATATTTCTTTCAATAATCCTTTATAAGAACATATCAACTTTTATCATATTTACGTACCGTCGACAATAAGGAGACATTCATCAAGCAGAGTTACGGGATTGAATCATGTGTTGTTCATTGCTTGTATTTGATGTTGAGTTTGTCTTAAGAACGATAGTCACATATTCAGCGATTGGTATTTACTCGAGTGCTAGACTATCATTCCATTTGATTTTTTCTGATATTAACGTATTCTTCGCTTTTGCTCTTTGTTAACACACTGTTCCGGAACGGTTCTAATTTTGTCCTAGTTATAAACATACGACTTAAGCGAGACGAAGCCACAAAATTCGAAGTTATGACCTAAATATTATGGTAAATGCCCTCTAGAAAACCAAAGTCGTCCACAGTACGGCTTTATTATTGTGACGAGGTACGTAAACACCATTGTATCTATTCTTGATGTTATTCTTTTAAGATTCAAATTTTAGTCCTTTTTTAGGGTCCAGTAATGGGATGAAATTTTTAATGTTTGATAATATTTTTCTTGTATAAGTAAATTGCTCCCCAAAATGTCACTCATGAGGGGTAGGGTTAGCTGAAGTGGCAATCCCATTGAGTTAACAGAATAAAACACTCGGAATTAGTTCCGGAGCACAATTTGTAGCTTTTCGTAAATGAAGCGTCAAAATGTTTTCGTTGTTTCTGAGTACTCCTCCAATAGCGATTCAGAGGATCATAAGGTCACACGTTGCTTCATTTGAATTGCTAGGGGAAATGACAATGATTTTTAGCTGCCTGGAAGCAGAGGGTGGAGGATAGACGGCCAAGTAGATAAATTAGGCCCGATTCTATTGGAGTGGCAGCAACGAGCAGTCATTCACTGAAGCAAGCAGTGAGCAGAAAGACAACGAGAACGAGTCACAGACAGACAACCTTAGCTTGAGCACAGCGAGTGATGCTTGCGGCGTTAAACAAGTCTAGAACGAGCAGTGAAAAAGCGTTGTTACGTGTGCAATACAACTGGATGCGGCAGCAGCAGTAGCGAGTGAGTTAAAGTAACACACCACCAACAAACAACAACAAATCTTTTATTCTTCAATTGATTACGCACTCCCCCTCGTGTGCTAATCAATTTGTTGAAGTTCTATAGTTCAAGTTCGATTGCTTTTCATAGTATAGACGCAATCGCCATCAACATACCATACACTGCTTTCTCTACTCATGAGCAGCTTATCGCATTATAACAACCTATTTCTCTAATGCTTCTGTTAGCTGATAATCCTCTTCCATTTTCATTCAACCCCTATTCTTTTATTCTATTCCATTCATTCATTTATCAGCTCAGTTTTCACTCATCAATTAAGATCATCTATTTATAATATCTATAAGTAAAATCTACACTTACTACGTTAGCAAATCACCTCGACAATATCTCGGATCATGTTAGTATATCATTGAAATATTTATTGTATACGAAATTTTCACCGAAGCAATAGCAAAATATATGTATGCATTCTTAGCTCTTCTCACATCTTCACCTCTCACTCTGTGCATCGCCAGATATCACTATTCCCCATTTATGAATCCATCGGAATGAATACTCATTAGTTGTGTTCGCATTTTAAGTACCTACCTTCATAGCAGTATTAATATTAGATTCATTTATTCGTACGTATGTATCTCTTCTCTTCAGCGCATCTCTAAGACGTATACTTATCTCATCTTTTCCACCACGACTGAATAAATATTACTTTCGCGAAGATATTTCGGTCAAACCAGCCATTTGCTCATTCTTATTCGATATCTGTCGTTCATTCATTCCGTCAACTAATCCGCTTTATACTCTTTCTCTTTACAACATACTTTATTCGCTGTGTGTTTGTCTCTTCAAGCACTGTCTTCATCACGCATTAGCATCATTCTCAGCAACTAGATCCCGATCACGACAGTGAACGCGAACCGAACAAGACAAATATGATCACTCACCGAGTTCACCACCACTATTACATCTTATGTCACCTCACTTCACTGCATCTGTACGAAGATTCTATGCTGCAGCAGACTCTTTTCAAAGCCAACAGGAGAAGCAATCTGTCCGTATGTAATAGCAACAGCAACAGCAGGCAAGCAGTATAAGCATTAGCAGCAGCAGTAGCAACAAAACAACAGCAGTAAACTAATACCTAGAGTCTGGGTTGAGCGTACATACATATGAGCTTTATGTTAGCAGCCATCACAATCCTTTCGTTCCTCATTCTAGCTTTTTAACGATTCAGCTATTCTCATCACCTCAACTCAGTTCTTCATTGCACACTTCTTCCATCCTATCCGTTCCTTTCTACAATACATCAACACTACTGTCTGCTGCTGCTGCTGCTGCTGCTGCTGTTGCTGCTGCTGCTGCTGCTGCTGCTGCTGCTGCTGCTGCTATATCCATTTTAAAGCAACAAAAATTTTTATGTATACATTACTCGATTGAACCAATCCAATGCAATTATGTCTTTCTTCAATTTAATCTAATCCACTTCCAATACACGTCTAGCATCTGCAACCACTACTCAATGCTACCCACTGAACAACTCACTCTACCTCATTTTATTGATCCGATTCTAAGTAATCTTTACTACCTAACTAAGTCTTACCACTTATCACTTTTCATCCTGTTTCGCTCTCGCTATTGTTAACAAAATTGATAATAATAATAATAGTAATAGTTTTATTGACAAATGATAAACGCTGATGCGCAATAAAAATAATGATAATAGTGACAATACTAGCAGTGATGGTAATAAGACAGTAATAATAGTGATAATAATAATAGTAATAATAATAATAATAACTAATGATTATAATTATCATACTATTCTCAGTAGAAATACTAGAAATATTACGATCCATAATGGTAATAGTACTGATAATGACACTAAGAATGGTAACGATTTGCAGTAGTTGAAAGAAATCTTTAGTTGCTTTCTTCTTTCGATATTCTGTAATTAATTTCCAAACCTCGATTTTATTCCTAACGTATCTTGTGCAGTATTTTTCAATTCATTAATTTAGTTATTTTCATTTCATCATTCATATTCTTTACAGATATAAAAACATTGTTTCATTTTGTCTCTTTCACGCTGTTTTTTCCACTTTGCTTATTTAATTCTGTTATCGCTCCAATTTTATCGCTCCACTGCTAACAAATTACATTCACGACAGTAACAGTTCTATTCTGATAATTAGATGCAATTCAAATCATAGCCTTACTCAGGCTCACAACATCAATGATATTGGTACACCACTCGGTTTCGAGCAAAACTTTTCTGCGCAAACGGGATTTGAACCCGCAACGTACCAATTACCAGTTGGGGCTGTACCCCTGAGCTATCACAGAGACCGTTCAGCGTCCACCGAGTGGTTGTGTTAACATCGCAATCAGTTCTTCAGTGCACATAATGCGAAAGTGATTTTGTGTCATTCTTTATTCATGATACAGTAGCGTCATTTTAATGAATCAACAACTTCGAAGCGATGACCCAACTTTCTGTTTGCTTGTTGACTAAATATTAATATGCTATTCAACTGTCTAGGTTTTACTTAAGTTATCAAAGTCATTTTAACATTCAATAAATTTTATCAGAAATATTATTCAATGAACAAATGAGATGGGTGAGGTTGTTTCGGTGCTTCGCACAATGTTTATTATATGTATGGATTGGTTCCGTTGAATCGTGACGTAGCATCGTCTCATTTCTACATAGAGCAGACTTTTTGCATGCATCCTTCAACGCTACTATTGTTCGTCGGATTTTCTTTCTCACAAGAAAATTTTTCATCTTCAGAACTTTTGTTCGTTAATTCCGTGGATTTTCTTGTTGCCTTCTATTGTGCAATTTCAAAAAAAAATTTGTATTGTCTTCAAAGACAACTCTGAAATGAAACAAAACTCCGTGAATATGTACATCGTCCGTATGACTAAATATCGAGTTTCCGTTGTCTGTAGAATGATTTGTTCAAAACACCAAATGCACTTCTTCATTTGATTTGTTGTACTTATTATTTCATTCATTTGATTTATACCACATATTATTTCACAAAGTTTATCCACAAATGCGTACCTTTATGCTATATATTTTCTCTTCTCCATCATTTCATCTATCAGCGTTT